CAAATCCATAAGAGATGAGAGTGATTCAGATGACAATGACGAGGAGATGTCATTATTTTCCAAACGGTTTAGAAAATTAATGAGGCCCAACCAAGGAAGAAAATTCAAAGGAAACAAAGGCTTAAAAAATGAACCAAAGGAGAAGGACTCGATCATTTGCTATAAATGCAAAAAACCGGGGCATGTCAAATATGATTGCCCACAATTGAATAAGAAGGGTTAATCAAATAATAAGCACAAAGCTCACATGGCTACATGGAGCAATGAAGAAGGTTCCGATGAAGAGGAACAAGAAGTAGCAAACTTGTGCTTGATGGCATATAGGGAGGATTCTCAGGTAACCTCTAACTCATTTGATTCAGATGATTTATCTTATGATGAGTTATTAGAGGATTATAATGGGTTGGCTTCGGATTATAAGACTTTATTTTCAAAATACAAAAATGATATTTCAAAATTGAAAAATGAAAATAGTCTTATGTCCAAAACCAACAACGATCTTGAAAGTAAGATCAAAGAATTGCAAATCAAATTAGATGAATTTGAAAAGAAAAACACCAATTTACATAACTTACTTTCAAGAGTAAATAATGATCATCAAAATAAAATTGATGATCTTAAAACTTCTTTTGATTAAGTTGGAACAAAACGTTTTGAAAATGGAGAAAGTTCAAAATCCAACTTTGTTAGAAAATGTTTTAAAAACAACAATCATAGAGGTCCCTAAAGAACCTCAAATGATAAAATCATTAAAAGTATATGGGTTCCTAAAGGACTCATTGCAACTAAAAATAAGGATATCCTACACAAATGGATACCTAAAGGGACTAGGATTTTAGAAACTAATGAATATGGACCCAAAAGAACTTGGGTACCAAAAATCAAAATTGAATCTATGTTTGTAGGAAAAGAAGCATTGCTACAAGGCACGGGAAACAAATTCAAACTCATGGTACCTTGATAGTGGATGCTTAAGACACATGAATGGAGATAAGAGCCGGTTCATAGAGATTAATGCCAAAAATGGAGGAGAGGTGACTTTTGGTGATAATTCAAAAGGTCACATTGAAGGTATATGCACTACAGGTAATACCTCTTCCATACAAATTAAGAATGTTTTATATGTGAATGGATTAAAGCATAATCTATTGAGTATTAGTCAATTATGCGATATGGGATTCAATGTCATGTTTGAAAATAATGGTTGTAAAGTCATTGACATTGAATCTAATCGGATTATGCTTATTGGTCATAGAATAGGAAACATATATATGGTGCATTTAGATTCTATAGATATGACTAATTTATGCCTAGTTGCTAAGGATGAGCATGATAGTTGGTTATGACATATGAGATTAGGACATGTTAGTATGAGTATTTTACAATGACTGATTCAAGGAGATTTAGTGAGAGGGTTGCCTAAACTAAAATTTGACAATGATAAAATCTGTGATGCTTGTGCAAAAGGAAAAAAAAAGCGAGTTTCTTTTAAATCCATTAATGATGTATCAACTAGTAGAGTTTTACAATTGATCCATTTAGATCTTTTTGGGCCATCTAGGACCACAGTTTGGGTGGAAAACAATATACATTTTTCTTGGTAGATGACTATTCTAGATATAATTGGGTTCTATTCTTAAGTACTAAAGATGAAGCATTAGAAAAATTTATCACGTTTTCAAAAGTAATCCAAAACGAAAAAGGTTACTCCATAACTAGTGTTAGGAGTGATCATGGCACTGAATTTGAAAATCTTGGATTTACTGATTTTTGTAATTCTAATGGTATTAGCCATAATTTTTCAGCACCTAGAACCCCTCAACAAAATGGAGTTATTGAGAGGAAAAATCGAACTTTAGAAGAAATGGCTATAACCATGCTTTGTGAAAACAATTTGTCAAAATATTTTTGGGCAGAAGCCACAAATACCTCTTGTTATGTTATTAATCGAGTAATGATTAGGCCTATTTTGAAGAAAACTACATATGAACTTTTCAAAAATAAAAATCCTAACATTAGCTATTTTCATCTTTTTGGATGTAAATGTTTTGTTTTAAACAACGATAAAGAAAATCTTGGGAAATTTGATGCTAAAAGTGATTAAGGAATTTTTCTGGGTTATTCCTAAAATTCTAAAGCTTTTCGAGTATTTAATAAAAGAACTTTAGTTGTAGAAGAGTCTATACATGTTGTTTTCGATGATAATCTCCTTCAGAGGAAGGATTCTTGTGTAAATGATGATGTAGGTATTGTAAACACAAATGACGTTAGACATAACATTGGAGAACCATCATCAAAGGAAGAAACGAAAGATGAGGAAACTCATGATGTTCTCGAGAATCCAACCATTGAAGAAAGGGAAGTCTCTTACCCAAGAGAGTTCAACTATGTCAAGGATGGTGAGATAATAGGTGATCCATCAAAAGGGGTAACAACTCGATCTTCTCTTAGAAATATTTGTAATTTTGTTGCATTTATCTCATGCATAGAGCCTAAGAATATTAAAGAAGCATTAAATGATGAACATTGGATTATGGCTATGCAAGAAAAGTTAAATCAATTTGAGAGAAGTAAAGTATGGACATTAGTTGAAAGGCCTAATAATAAATCTATTGTAGATACTAGATGGGTATTTAGGAATAAGCTTGATGAAAGTGGTAATATAATGAGAAACAAGGCTAGACTTGTTGCTCAAGGGTATACTCAAGAAGAAGGAATAGACTATGATGAAACATATGCTCCCGTAGCTAGGAAGGAAACAATTAGAATGTTATTAGCATTTGCATGTTTCAATGAATTTAAATTATATCAAATGGATGTTAAAAGTTCATTTTTAAATGGTTTTATAAAAGAAGAAGTGTATGCGGAACAACCTTCAGGTCTTGAAGATTCAAAATTTCCAGATTATGTTTTTAAATTGACAAAAGCACTTTATGGTTTAAAATAAGCTCCAAGAGTTTGGTATGAAAGATTGTCAAATTTTTTATTTGAAAAAGGTTTTTCAAAAGCGAAGGTTGACAGTACATTGTTTTTAAAGCATAAAGGTAAAGATTTATTAGTAGTTCAAAATTATGTTGATGATATAATATTTGGTTCTACTAATGATTTTCTTTTCCAAGAATTTTCTAAGCTAATGCAGAGTGAATTCGAGATGAGCATGATGGGGGAGCTCTCATTTTTCTTGGGACTCCAAATTAAGCAAAGAAAGGATGACATCTTCATCAATCAAGCTAAGTATGTCAAGGATATGCTCAAGAAGTTTGGACTGAAAAATGGAAAACCTCGTGCCACTTCAATGAGCAATTCTACAAAGCTTGACATAGATGAAGAAGGTAAATGTGTGGATGTTAAATTATATAGGTCAATGATTGGTTCTTTACTTTATCTAACCACAAGTAGACCAGCCATTATGTATAGTGTTTGCTTATGTGCTAGATTTCAATCATGTCCTAAGGAATCACATTTACTAGCTGTTAAGAGAATCTTTAGATACCTTAAGGACACTCCTAGTTTAGGACTTTGGTATCCTAGTGACTCTACCTTTAGGTTGCATGCCTTCTCTGATGCGGATTATGGAGGATGCAAAATAGATAGGAAAAGCACCTCCTGTACTTGTCAATTCCTAGGAAATATGTTGATTTCTTGGTTTTCAAAGAAATAAAATTGTGTTGCATTATCTACCACTGAAGCGGAATACATTTCAGCGGGTAGTTGTTGTGCACAAGTTTTATGGATGAAACAACAACTTTTTTTATTATGGAATTGAAGTAGGAACCATACCTATCAAGTGTGAAAATACTAGTGCTATTTGTCTCACTAAAAATTCCATCCAACACTCTATAACTAAGTATATTGAAATTAGACATCATTTCATTAGAGATCACGTCGCTAAAGAAGATATAGTTCTAGAACATGTTGATATTTTGCATCAATTAGCAAATATTTTTACAAAACCTTTAGATAAATAAAGATTTTGGACACTTACGAGAGAATTAGGTTTAACCAACCTACCTTGACTTAGTGTTTAAAATAATTTTAGCACTTTTAATTAAGAATGAAAAATGCTTATGAAAATAACTCTTTTGATTGTATTCTTTGCTATTAGTTAGGGGGAGTTTATGATTCTTAGTGAAAATTAAATGCATGTTCAAATGAAGTTTAAAGATTTGATTGATTGAAAATAGTTAATTTTCAATCTATGAGTTGCCAATACCACTAGAGCTAAATAATTTAGCATTTTGAATGCTTAAAATGAATTTTTGACATTTTAGTGCATAATATATCGATACACTAGACAGTGCATCGATATATCCTTTGAATATGCATCGATACACCTTGAAGGTGCACCGATGCACTCATTGAATGTGCATCGATGCACTCTGTTGTGCATCGATACACTCGTCGGGTTTTGGGTATTAAATCCCTATTTCTTCTTCATTCTCTCAAAACCTTTCAAAGTCCTCTTTGTCGCCGTTCGTCCCTCTCTCACTATACTCTCAAATTTTGCTCAAAAACTTCATTTCAAGTCGGAAATTACTTTCTTAGCATCTCCCAATCCTGCTACTATCATTAAATCGTGCAAAACATCATCACATTCTCACTCAAATCCAAATTTAAAGGTAATATTTTCTAAAACCCCTGTTTTGTTAATTTTTTAACTTAGGATTAGTTTTGATTAGTTCTAGGTTGAACAAATCATCGAGCATTGATTGTCTAGTGTTTAGAAACTAGATTTTACAACCAATTTCGTCAAAAAACACTAAATTTTTCAAAATTATTTTTGAAATTCGAAAAAAAAACAGAAAAAATTATTGTTTTAATTGATGTTTCTAATTCACTTATGTTGTTTTCATGAAAACTATAAATATTATGATCTTCAAACATTATTTTCAAAATAGTTTTCCAAACTTTTCCCATTAGGATTCGGTTTAGAGAACATTGACTATTGCGGACTCAATTGAGTTTTGGGATTGATTTTATTGCATACATGTGTTTTAAATATGTAGGTTACCTATCCCATTCCGATTCTAGAACAATGTCTAATCCTAAACGACCTGGGACATCGTCTAGTCGCTCAAGTCAAAACCGACCTCCTATCCCTCCTCCACCACAAAATCCAAACCCAAACGAACCATTCTTAATTCTTGCTTAAACCAACCCAGTCGTCGTCAAGATGAATTATATGATAGGTTCGTTAGTTATTTTCAATATTGCAAAATCCGAGAGGAGCGTATTCCTTTCATTCAAGCAATGGAGGATATTAACTTCAAATATCCTCCTATCATTTGTTCCTGGAAGTTTGATAAATTGTGCCAAATTAAGCCCATTTTCTATCAACAATTAGTCCGTATTTTCTACTCCAATGCGGTTTGTGTCCAAAATGCAAGTAAAATCGAAACCGTAGGCATACGATCATATCTCTTAGGAGAAGTCATTTTCATCAATTCGGAAACTATCGCTAATACTTTTAGTTTAGACGATGCTGACATAGATAATTAAAGAGACGTTGTGGCCACACCATATAAGTCTAAGGATAATGTTAGTACCTTACAAACACATCATGACCGATTTCTTCATTTAATGATCTCTTGGTGGTTTAGACAATCCAGAGGTAGGTACTCCACTCTTAGAGTCATTGATTTATGGTGGATACATTGTATCCAACATAATAAGAGAATTAATTTTCCACAAATTATTTTTGGTGAGCTTGTTGATAACGTAAACGTTCTCCCTTCCAAAAATATAGAAACTTTAGTTTACAGTTATCTTCTTTCTAATCTTTTTATCAAACTAGGGCTTAAGGTATCGATTGACATTCCCATCCCTCTCCAAAACCAAATTAATCTCACTTCCTCAAAGAAATCGGGATGGAAAAAGGATAAGGAAATGGGTCAATGGGAATATAGACCCACTGAGCAAACTCCAGGAGCTAGCACTTCACGAGCTCCACCTCCTCTGGCACCAGTAGCAGACGACGATCCCTTACTTCAAGAACTTTTTCAACATATAGACGATCACGTACCAGACGATGAGCCGACACCCTCATAGCAAGAGGAACAAATGCCTCCATATTTTCGATCATTTATGGAGTCATTTGATCTATGATTTCCTTCCATGGAGTCTCAACTGACTGAGTTTCAACGGGAGATGCGTGAACGTATGGATGCTCTCACACTTGAAGTGCGAGCACATTATCCTCCTCCTCTTGATCCTCCTATGGACGACTAGACCTATCTTGCTTTAGTTTGCCTGAATTAAACTTTGGATTAATATTTTGGATTTTCTTTCATTGAATTGTTCAAACTTTTGATGTTTTTGGATTGATTGTTTGGATATTATGGATGTTTGAACTTAATATATATATTTGGTTTGCTTGAATTTATAAGCTAAAGGTTTATTTTGTTTTTGCATAATTTACATATTAGTTGCAATATGACCAATTTTACCATTACACATTGTTTATGAATATTGATTATGAAACTTATGGCTAACGTTTCTCTTGATTGTGATCTTAGCAGCTTAAGGTTTTAAATTTATAAATATCAATTGGCTGATTTTTCAAAAACCCTTGTTTCAAAACGTTTTAGGAGTCTTTTTGCTTTAATAAAAAGGGGGAAAAGATGTGTTATAATAAGCGGGAGTAATTTTTCAAAATTGATCTCAAAAATGATTTTCTTGAAAAATCTTAAAATTACTCAAATGATTTGTTATATCAAAAAGGGGGAGAATGTTGAAAACATTTTTGATGTTTCGATATAACAAATTAAGTATAAATAAATTTTAAGATTTTACAAATCATTTTCTAAGTATATTCGAATCAATTTACTCGAATTTCAAGATTTTACTTCAAGTCTTTAAAAGATCAATTTTAATCCTTACTAAAGTATAAAATTGTGTTTTAATCTTAAAATATTTTTTAAACAATTTTCACAAAGTATTTCGAACCAAAAATGAGCCAAATATCAATTTTTTAGAGTAGTGTACCGATGCACTATATAATGCATCGATTCATCCTTGAATAAATTGAATTTCGAATGCATTTTGTGTACCGATGCACAAGGCATGCATCGATGCACTCCAGGCTTATTTGAAACATCGAATGTATTTTATGCATTGATGCACCCCTAGTGTACCGATGCACTAAGTCTTCCAACGGTTGAAATATTTGAATTTTACACATAGTGTATCGATGCACATTGCCTATGCATCGATGCACTATACGTTCCCAACTATTTTATTAATTATTTTCACACAATAACAGCTCTATTGACTCTACTAATGATCCCTAACATTCAGAAGTGATCCAAGGTGTATTTAAACAAGCTTAGGAGTCATTGATCAAAAACAAGAAACAACAATTGAGAGAGAATCAAAGAGAAAGCTTTAAAACATCAAGGTTGAGCTATTCAAGCTTATTTTTCATTCAATATTCATTTTGCTTTCAAGAACACTATTTGTACTCAGTTATATTCATTCTTGAGTGTTCTTTCTTTGTTCTAGAATTGTGCAAACAATTTACATTGTGAGGTTTTTCTTGTAAGTTTGCAAAATTTGTGTATTTCTCTTTGGGAGAGAGTGTGCTCAAGAATTTAGGGTATAATTCTTGAGGGAGTTGTAAGGTTACTCTTTGTCCTAAAAAAAGAACAAATTAGTGAATTTGTTGGAAAATCCTTAGTGTTGATAGCTAAGGTAGTGGACTTAGACTTTGGTTGAGAAAGTCGAACCACTCTAAATCACTGTGCAAATATTTTCAATTTTCTGCAAAAGTTTCCACCAAATTTTTAATTGCCAATTCATCCCCCCTCTTGGCTATTTCGTCGATCGATTAACTCAACATCTTTTATTTAAAAGTGGGGTTATTATAAATCCAAAGTCACAAATATAAATTAAACTATAAAATAAATTTATGATTTCAATATTAAATTTTTATCTTCAAAGGATTTTTTTAGAATTATTTCTCATTGAAACTTTAAATTTAGAATCATAATGAAATAAATGTGAAAATAAATATAATTTAATTTAAAAATATAAAAATCTGAAACTCGTTTTTATTTTTAAATTTTATATTAACTACAACTTAACATATATATATATATATGCAATACAATTTATTTATTAAATTTGTTTTAATGATTAAATTATGTTATTAACGGATATTAATGATATATATATATATGTGTGTGTGTGTGTGTGTGTGTGATTTACCTTGGTGGTTTGAATCCCATTAATTTCTTCTTATTTCTTGTTTTTATGTCATAATATATTATAAAATACATTATAGGGATAGCAACGGGGCGAGGTGGGGATGGTTTTGAATTACCCAATCCGTCCCCAACACTTGCGGGTACGATTTTAGGAAATTCCCATTGTATGTTTCAAGGATTTTATGTCTCCATACCCATCCCTTATGGATCTCTGTGGGTTTCAGTTAGTCTCTATCCCAAAAAATAAACAAACATTTTTGAAATCATTGTAACACTTAAAACTTATAAGATATATCAGATTGTCTCGAACTGGTCTCTATCTATAATATGAAAGTTTCAAACGTCAATATTCATCTAACACCCAATGTATATGTACAATCTTAACCATTTTCAATCTCAACAAATCAATATATATTAAATGAGAAAAGATCTAAACTTCAATTTTAGTTCCTTTAATATGTATATTAATTTTTGTATATTAAACGAGAAAAGATATAAACTTCAATTCTAATGGCAACACTTAATATCACAATCTTATTATATATAATTTGTTATTAAAATATATATTAAGGGTATTGTCGCGGTCATCTTTCGGGTGGGTCCGTAATTGGGCTAAGACTTGAATAAATGGGTTAGAGTCGCCACCGATCATTTTAAAGAAATATTTAGGTTGATCGGGCACTATCTTACCTGATATGCGTTTTACCAGAAATGTGTAGGGTTCGAGAGTCGGTTACAGTCAAGGAATGATTAACACCCTTGTACTGCCCTTTCGGTACCAATTAATTTATCGGTTGTCTTAATAGTGAAAATTTAAATTTAAATTAAAACTTGAAGATTCAATTCAAATTAATTACCTTTGCTCAATTGAAAGCATCCCTAAAAAGTAAAAAATGTTAGATAAGAAATAATAAATAAATGTTAAATAAATCCAAGGAAAAATAAAATAAAAAACATAAAAAAAGATAAACAAAATAAAGAAATAAATCAAAGAAAAAATAAAAATATTAAATAAAATAAAAATATTAAATAAATGAAAAGGGTATAAAATAAAAAATAAAAAATTTTAAATTTTAAAAGTAATAAAATAAAAAATAAGAAGTAAAAACATAAAACAAATAATAATAAAAAATAAAAAATAAAATAAAATTAAAAATAAAATAAAAAATGATAAAATTAAAAGGAAAAATGATTAACTAAAATAATAATAAAAAAGAATGCTAAAATTAAAAAGGTAAAACTGAATAACAAAAAAACTTAAAGGATCAAATTGAAATGAATTGAAATTAATGGATTAAATTGGTACTAAAAATGAGCTGCAAGAGAAAAATAAAGAGTTAAAAGGGTTAAATTGTAAAAAATGTAAATTATAAATAGGGACTGAATTGAATAAATTGAAGATTCATAGGCCAAATTGAACACGGTGACCAAAATGAATTACACTTCAAAAGTCCAGGGACTGCGGAAATAATTTAACTATTATCTAATTATAACATAGTCCCTCCCCTATAAATAGCCCAAAACCGAAAAAAATCATTTTTTACCCAAACCTAAAAAAGCTCTCATCCCTCTCCAAAATGATATCCCCTTCCTCAACAGCCGACCAAAACCCGACCACCGCCCGCCGCCGCTTCGGAAGCTGGAAAAATTCCTAACCGTAACCAAAATATTCCCCAACCTTGTGAACCCAAAACCACCGTCCGATTACCAGAAAAAGCCTCAACGACCTAGATCTAAAAGGGAATCTCTCGGGTTTTACCTTTTCCGGCAGCTCCTTCTTCTCCGAGGCCTTTAGCTTTGTTTTCTC